TACCCCGTTACATTCTCCCCCACTTAGGTTCGGTTTACCGACCAATCACAAAAGGGAGACAGAGTCACAAATCCCCCACTTAGGTTTGGTTTACCAAAGAGGGAGACTGAGCCACAAACTCTCATTCTCCGAACCGAAAGGGATTCGACAAGCTGCGGCAACGCGGCTGTGGCTCATTTCACAGTTGGAGCCTTGAGCAAAAGCGCTCGTCTTCTTGGTCTCGACTCCGACCACGTCATGCCTCGGGGTACTGCGGAGGGCGGCGCGAAAGCACCCGCTATGGCCGCTGTTCGAAAGGCGCAAGCCAAGAGCTCTAAGCGTCAGAGCAAAGGATCAGCACTCAAGGGGGCTACTAAGGTAGTCTCCGAGGCGGTTAATGCCTCCGGTGACTTTTCTGCGAGCAAGCGGCGAAGCTTACGCCGCAGTCGGTCACCTCAATGTCCTCAGGTGACCGTCCGAATCCACGGTTCGCGTGCCGTGAGCCCAAACCTGGTTCTGAGGATGAGACCATGGCCCGGAGCTTCCACAGTGTGTCTGGGAGCTCCGTGGGAGGGCACACTCCAGTGCCCAGTGAGCGCAGCGTTGACAGCGTGCACTCGCTCGCTAGTGATCACGTTGATCACGGTTCAAAGACGCCTGAGCGCTCTGAGAGCCCTGCCGACGAGGCGAAGGGCTCGCCTTATGCTGGCGGCGACGAGAGAGGCAAACCTCCGAACAATCTCTCGCTTGCCGAGGGCCTTGAGCGTGCTCAGGCTGCTAAAGTTGCAGCCAAAGAGGCCAAGCACTCTAAAAAGCGCATGACATCTAAGTCTCCATTCCGCGACGGGAAGGAGACTCGTGATTAGTATTACACGATGTTCGACGCCTTGGACGAAGAGAAGGAGGGTACCATCGACGGGCCCCGGCAGATCACAAATGCCCTCGACCGGCAGCAGGAGTTGTTCCAAGCTGCCCGGCGAAACCCTGGGGGTTCGGAGGCTACGCCTGTCGGCCAAGGACCTTCCATCAACCCGAGAGGTTATTGGCCTCCCGAGGAGAGCTTTGGAGCCGAGCTCTTCTTGGCAGAGCTCAAGGCACCTCGTGGGCTTATTGAGTGCCCCACTTCTAAGGACGCTTACGAGCGTGCCCTGGGCCAGGGGTTCATATCATCGACGCTTTTGATGGTATCTCTGATCCTGATACAGTGCAAATTTTGCTTTGGAGTGTTATCATTTGATCCTGATCCAGCCTGATTCAGGCTCATTGTAGTATCAGTATCATATCATTATACTGATACATGTATTGATACAAAGTCAATGAAGCGAGCTATTTGTCTGTGGTTTGCTTCAGATCCATCTAGACATCGTTTTGCAGTCTCTGGTAATCCCGCCAATTTGCCTTCATTAGGCACAATTTTTCTGCTCGTTCGTCATCGAGTCGAGTGCGAAGTTCATTCACCACGTAGCCACTTTGGCTAAAAAATCTCTCTTGAATCGCTGTGGAGAGCGGTTTGGCCAGGTAAATTCTAGCTAAAAGGGCAACCGAAGGAAATTCTTTGCTACCACGGTCTCGGAACCACTCGAGAATGTCAACATCGCGATACAGTTGCAGTACATTATACTTACCTCCAGTGGGTTTGGCTTCGGACCATTTCACAGAGAGGGTTTTCCACTGATTCCAAGGTTTAGCTGCCTGAATCGCCACGCCATCGTGTGCATCTTCAACTTCGGATTGTTCTTCTGGGACATCCACCTCTAACAAAGAGCACACAGCGCTATCTGTCGTGGTCTTGCAGTGCTGTTCGGTTTGGGCCTCCTCCAAAACGGTCTCCTTGGACTCATCATTAACCACATTTCTCGCAAACAATTTCTGAAAAATGAACTCGTGCTCCAACTGGAGCTCATTTTCAGCTGGAGAAAGAGCAGACGAATCACTGACAATTATGCTTGCGTTGGCTTTGATACGAGGATCTAAAAGCAAAGCTTTTATGCCGTTCACATCTTGAATAGGAAACCGAAGTGCAAGTTGCTCGCGTAGTCGATCCCTGCAGCGAATTCCACCCCACGTGAATTCACTCACTGGCTTAGGCTGGCGTCTCTGCGTAAACTCGTTTCCTCTGAATGTTGGTCGCTCTAGTACCAAACACTTAACCGTCTCGGAATTCACTGCCAGAGACAACATTTTTCGAAAAAGAAGTGAGTAAGAGCTCGCTACACCATCTTTCTGTACATTGCCAACACTAAACTGTGCAAGTTGGTCTGTAAGACCTTCCATTTCTGTGATCAGTTCCCAATCAGCACTGGATATAGAGCTCCACAACGTTGTTCATTCAGAGGAGCAGACTCGAAGTATTTAGTGAAAGCGTAATTGTTGAACACGCTCCGTCTCATTAACGTGACTGCATAACCCACTCGGGTTTTCGAATCTACTTCAATGTTAACTGGTGGGAGGCCGAACACATCTTTAATCTGCTTCAACTCCGTCAAGCGACTTGGAGAGTTAAAGAAAGACGCTAAATCTCTCAGTTTCTGAATGACACGAAGCCCATCTCGAAATTTACCTCCAGGTGTCACTACAACCCGACCATCACTCCTAGTGTTATTTTTTCAAACCAAGACCGTACAGGAGACATAAACTCAGTAAATGCATCAGACAGTCTACTTGGTCTGTACTGCTGAAGTGGTCGGACACATTCCTAGCACTTCCTGTAGTATCACTCACCGTGAAGCGAGCGTACTGATCGATATCAATGTCATACCGAGTTGAAATCTCGGACTTAATCGAATCAGCGACAGTGTTGGCTGAATGTCCTTGTGTGTTGGGAAGTGCCAGCAACGATAGTTTGATTAATCTCCACTTTGAATCGATGAACATAATAGTTGCTCCAATAATATTTACTTTTGAAGCGTTGGTCCACAAGTACGGAATAACAGAAACAAAGGGTTGATGTTGAGCTATAGAGAACTCCGACCGAAGCGTACGAGACACCCACTGCACAAAAATGTTAAATTCGCCATCTGCGTAGGAGTAGAAGGTAACACGAGCTGGAAATCCGATGGTTGGTTGGTTGGTTAGATAGCCGGCGAAGAAGATCAAGTAGCTCGTTGTTCAATAGGACAGTATACGGCAGACCAGACGAAAGCAACCAACGGGTTGCTAGTATTTTGATGTCTTCGGCACTGACCGTCATCGACTCGAATACAGTGCGCTGCTTCTTAGCCTTCGGCTCTCCGTCCGATTTTCCTGTGATCCCATCGTTGTATGCGGTAATTTTGGTCGATGTAGCTTGTATTCGAAGTTCATTGACGGTAGTCGTAAACTGGTGATCCTTGTGAGCTCGCAGCATGTGTTTCTTTGCATTAGTTGATGACTTGCTACATCGCAAAAGGCACGAGCGCCACGCAGTAGATGTTGGATCTGAGCTTTGGAGCTTATCACAACACACTAGACAAATGTGTGTGAATGGTCGACTAGGTTGTAATGGATCTGTAATTGGCTCGTAGAGCAGATGAACGAAGCTCCAGACGGCTGTGAACGCGTTTTGGTTGCGGTGGCGGACTTCCAGAGGAATGCCATGCTCGTCCACCCCTCCTTCGTTGGCCGACGGCTCAATGTCGGTTGAGGTCTATGCTTGGGGCCCGGCGTCCTCGGCCATCATCTTGTCACTTGCACGGTCAATTCTTCTGTGGTTTCAAAGTGCAGAAAGCCTTTCGCCCAAAATAAAATCTTTGTCTAACGTATCAAGTACAGGAATCACCCAATCACTAAGTATTTGACTAAGGATCAATGATCTTGATCCTAGACTTGAAATGCCTGAAGGGGGTATCATCTGATACTGATACAGGTATTTCGCTCTGTTGTATCAGGTGTATCACTCAGTATCACCAGTTGATATGAACCCCTGGCCCTGGCCCAGAAGGAACAGTTGTTCACGGACAACGTGGAGGCGGCCCGGTGCGTGCTTCTCGCGCTGCATCAGACCCTTCTGAAGGACTTCACGACTTGTCGTAAGAAGCCCAAGAACCGGGTGGT